GCCCCGCGGCCTGATGGGAATTGTAGTCCGGGAAGAAGCCAGAGGGCACTATAAACTACATTTCCCGCTGAGTGGGTGGCTACGGCAGGCCACGAGGTACAGCTACAGCGCACTGTCTGCTCTTGGAGAGAGCGCCTGAGGACCAGGCCGGGAAGGGGTTGTTTGTTCTTCCCTTCTTTCCTGAGCTCAGGGAGGGCTGGCTCGGCTTTCTCTCGCCCCGCCGCCGGGAGTCCCTTTCCCGGATCCTGCATCAAAAATTCAGAGCTGGCGGCTACTGCTCCGTGGGAGTAAGGGGGGCGTCCCTCTTCAGCCCAGCCAACCCAGCGATTGTCTGCGCCTCCATGGGCCCGACCCGGAAGCCCAACGTGTGCAGCCAGCTGAGTCGCCGGGCGCTGGGCTTCTTCGCGCGTGACGCAGGCGTGGTGCAGAGGACAAACCTGGGCATCCTGCGGGCTCTGGTGTGCCAGGTGACCGCCCGCCGGCCGGGGACGGGACAAAAACAGCGGGGCGCCTGGGTTGGAATGCAGGATTTACCTGCTAGGACTCCCTTTGAGAGAGTCACAAGCGCCGGGGAGGGGATTAGCAAATAGTTGTTAATAGGGCCACCAGATGGTTTCAGTTTTAAGATCCTTATGCTTTTCTGCAGTCTTTTTTAAAGTTGGGCAATAATTGGTCCAAAACGTGCGGGCAGAGTGAGGAAGACATTAAATAATGTTTTAAAATAACGTACGTGAAATTACTTTGAAAGTGATCATTTTAACCATCCAGCGTACAATGAACAGGGTTATGAGCTCTTTCCTAAACCGAAATTCCTTGTGTCTTTCAGGAAAGTACTAAATTTAAAAATGTTTGGACAACTCATTCCAAATCACCTATAGCCTATGAGAGAGGAAGAATATATTTTGACAATTATCGGTGTTGTGTCAGCAGGTAACTTCTTAATGATAATTTTTATTGTCATTTACCTGACTGTTAATCTTACCTGTAATTTTTACAGAGCCACATGACTACATTAGTACTTAGTGAAAAAGAACAGTGGACAAAATGGATCTAAAATAAGACTAGTGAAATGCGTGTAATTTAAAAATCCCGTTAAATCTAAAGTTGCAGGTTGGACTTTGTAAAGTATTTCAAAGCAAAACAAAGTAGGCAAAATGATAGGTTGCTTAGAGAACTGTTTATGATACTTAAAAGATAATAGAGTCAAGTAAACTGGTTACCAAACAGATGTTGTTTTGGAGAACTATTTTTGTTTTCAGAGTACTCGCTTTTTTTGGAGGCGGGGTCTCACTGAGTAGTTCAGGCTGACCTCAAACCCACTCTGTAGCTCAGAATGGCATCAAACTTGTGATCCTCAAGCCTCATTCTCGCTCGTGCTGCAGTTGCAGGTGTGTGCCACCATGCCTGATCACTTGCCTTTTTTGAAGAGAATTTTTGAACCATTCAACAGTGAGACTGAAGGAAAAGCCATGGTGAACCCCCACAACACCAATTATTTAGATTAAAAAACTATCAAAATTTGCTATGCTTGTTTTATCACATTTCCACACTAAAGTTTATGTCTCTAAAAATTACAGGAATTTTTTTCATAAGATCTTTATTAGTATAAACGTATACTATACTGTTTACCCATTTAATATCCTGCTTATAATGCTTACATTCCCATCACCATGGTTAATTTTACAGCATTTTCATTGTTCCCGGTCATAATCCCAAAAGATACATCCTGAATTTTGAAATCACAAAAGATTAAACTCACAATCCTAAAATATTAAAATCTCAAGTATTTTAGTATTTTTAGTCTTTTTGGGGGGTATGGATAGATTTATTACTACTAATCATTATGTAATAATGTGACTATGATCCTGGTGTTCTCAGACAAGAGGAAACTCACACTACATGTTTCTGTGATAACTAAAAAGGACATATCATCAAAATAAAAGCTATAAAAATATATGCAACAAAAGTACACTTTATACAAGGAGAAATATGCCATAAGTTATAAGCACATGTATATCAAAGTAAAAGCTTAGAACTCCTATGTGATCTCTATTTTAATGTGAGATCTTTATAGGTATTTACTGGGAACATGAAAAAGAAAATATCTGTTACTCTACACCTTGTTTGAAATGGTAAAGAAACTATAAGAACATGTAGAGAAACCTTGTTTGAAGAACCTATCTTACAAAAGATAAAAATACATGTTTTAACTGTCATTTGTTTTACATAAAAGATGGGGTAGAAAGTATTGTAGTATCGAAGGCCAAAATCTTCAAAGGTAATTCTCATTTTTAAGTCTTATATAAAAGGGCTAGAAAGCCATATTCTGAGGAAGGGATTAGGGCATCTTTGGTTGTACACAACATCATTTATATCATGGATGGTGCTGGATACAGGAACAGAATATTCCCAATTCCTTCCCTCTGTCGATTCCTCCCATTGCTGTCATTCATATTACTTATCTTTATGTTAAAGTCAATGAATGCCATGTTGTGTTTTTATTTTGAGAAACTTCTTTAAGTCAATAAAGATTAAGAAAAACATTCTGTTTTACCTTCATTTATTCCTTCTCTAACCCTTTTCCATTCTTTGTGTAGAACTGATTTTCTGACATATCATTTTCTTCTCTTGGAAAAATTTTTAATATTTCTTGCAAGGCAGGTCTGTAGCCAGCATATTCCCTCAGCTTTATTTGTCTGAGAAATTTGTATTTTTTCCTTCACTTTTGAAAGATAGTTTTTTGGGGTACTAAAATTCGAAGTTGGTGGAGTTGTTCTTTTCTTGGAATTCTTTAGATATTTCACTCCATTCTCTGCTTGCTTGTATGATCTCTGAAAATAAAAGCCTGATGTAATTCTTATTCTTGTTCCTCTAATGGATAAGGTGATTTTTTTTTCCTCTTCCAGCTTCTTTTAAGATTTTTTTCTTTTTTATTTTCTTTTGCTTAAACGTGATAAATCTAGGCTCGTTAGGGGCCTAGTATTCTCAGCTGTACTGCCCCCAAAGTAGAACCCCCATTTCAACAATGGATCCTGGGTAGAAAAAGTGAGCCCCTTGTCTCTCTCTACTGCACTCACTCACCCAGGACTCAACTTCAGCCACAGAAAACTAGAGGCTAGATAAGCCTGCAGCCCCTTTCCCACTAAGTCCTCTAAACCAATCAGCCAGGAGAGGGAGCCTTGTGCTCTGTCTACAACAGACTGGAGTAGTTTCCATTTTCTAGGGCTGGGAGTATAGAGGAAGGAAGCATGCCTTGAATTTAAAAAGCACAGTCTCTTGCTATTCCCACAGAGCTCTAGTAGATTTTTCTTGAATAAATGTGTCTTCGTATGCTATATGTCCCCAGTGGTTGTCCTTTAATAATTTCTACCAGTTTTGCTGAAGAGTGTCCACAAAGCCTGTCATGCTGGAAGTAGAAATCAACATTTTCTTATACAATCATAATATCACACCTGCTACCATTTAATTTCAAGTTTGTAACTTCTCCAATTTGGAAGTACTTGATTTAATTTAGAACCAGATTTTGAAATGAGACTAAGTGGCATTGATTAATGTTCTAATGGTAAATAATATTGGAGTTCTTTAACATGCCACCCAATGTGTTTTACCCACAAGTTAGAATCACAGACAAGTCTGCTTTCATTCTTGTAAAATTCTGTCCAGTTTAAACCTTTCAGTTAGAAATATCAAAGGTGAATAAAATGTCACCTTGGAAACTTTCTCTTTTAACAGTAGTTTAATTTTAGAGTGCCTCAGTTAAATGAAAACACTTGAGATCACCTCAGTAGCAAACAGAGAAGTATAGTTAGGCACAGTGGCACATGCCTGCAGTCCTAGTCCCTAAGGAGGCTGCAGCAGGAGGAATCAAGTAGACCAACCCAAACCACATAACAAAATCTTGTCTCAAAGATAAATAAGACTGTTCATCAAAGGTACAGTGTTCAATATTGGTAGAAGTATAAAGGCTTTTTCAGCCTATCTAAAAGGTAATTTAGGAGTAAAAAAATTATAGTGTATTTCCTTAGCAATGAATTTTTATTCAAAAACGATACCATTTTTATCCAATTTTCATTTAAAATTTTTATTTCAAATATTGTTCATGAACAGTTTTTTAACTCAATGGAAATGAACGGAGCTATCCGTGATGAATGTTAAGGGGTTAAAAAAAGATAAAATATGATCCAGTTTTGGAAAACAAAGTATAGGTAGTTAATGTATGTAGAGAAAAACTAGAAGAAAATCTAAATGTTAATTTTTGGTAATTTTATAGTATAAACAAACATATTTTTCAGATTTTTTTCTATATGTATATATTACAAATTCTGTGACCAGAAATAAAAAAGATAATGTGCATAAGAAGAGGAAAGCAAATAGCTAATATATTGTGGTATTCTAAATCTCTATATGAAAAGGTATCTCAAACTTGAACAACTACTGCTTCCATTATCAATAATAATAATTTTTTTTCTCTTTTCCAGTGTTGCATCAGAGCCAAGAAAACTTTATGAAATGCCAAAATGTCCCAAGTCAGAAAAAATAGAGGATGCTTTATTATGGGAATGTCCAGTGGTGAGATTTGTTTTTAAAGCATTTTTAGCCTCGAAGTACTGGTTATTGTTAACACATAAAAGATTAAAAAGTCAGGATTATAGTAATTCCTGAATCTTTAGAGCAATCAAAAAGAGAACTTACCCTTGATTATCGTTTTTCCTCATTTTAAAAATCATTAGTATTAGTAATATTTTAAAATTAGAAGGCCAGTCGTGGTGGTGCACACCTGTAATCCCAGCACTCGGGAGGCTGAGGCATGAGGATCACTGTGAGTTCGAGACCAGCCTGGGCTACATAGTGAGTTCCAGGTCAGTCTCAACTATACAGTGAGACCCTGTTTCAAAAAACCAAAAAAATAAATAAATAAATAAATAAATAAAATAAAGTTAGATATAGTTTCTTTAAATCTGGAAAATTAGGAAATGTTAGAGACTGATTAAAATTTTTATAGCAATGTAATCTAGTTTATAATTTACATTGTGTTTAAGAGATTATTCCATTTACTATACTGAAATAATAAAGTAGAGCAACAGATATGTCAAATAGATAATTGAAAATGAATTCTTAACAAGTTTCCTCCATGAAAATTTTAAGATAAAAATATATTTGATAACAAGATACATTCATTCCAGACCAACATTACTCTGATAGTATTTTTCAGACCCACTGTTTTCCTGGGATGTTAAAGGTAGATAAATGCCAGAGGAGTTGAGAGAAATTGGACTGTGGAAAAATAAGTATGGAACATTCTGAGTATAAAAGATTAAACAAGTTTGTTTATAAAATTACTTCTCAGAGCCTTTAATAATAATACTAATGTACATAATGATTATGAATCATTTTCCCAGACTTTTGATAGAACTTCCTTTTTGAGGACTATTTCTAAATCAGTTTTCCATGTCATCACTGTTCTGAGGAATGCACTTAGGAAGTACTACAAGAAATTAAGCCGGTCTTTAAATCTCGTTGGTTGGTTCCTAGGAAAAACAGAACCCCCGGTAGATAAACAATATTTAACCTAAAATAATGCTTGAAGGATAGGCTATATTCTGAATTTTCTGTTAAAATGCATTTTTGTTTTGGTTTTTTATTTTTGATTAGGCTGATTTTACAGTGTAATTTTATGGAACTGCTGATTTCTTTTTCATTGGATTCTTCCCTGTCCATAGAGATCTCCTTTTTAAACATTAGAAAGCTTGGAATTTCCATTTTCTACTTCAACTTCATGTTTTGAAGGTATAAATAACTGTTGTGCTGCCAGCAATTTAAAGCTTTTTAATCCATTTCTATGAGGGTTGGGGGTGGGGTGGAAAATGACAAATTTCTTACTTGAGAATTTTGAATACACCACTACAAAACAGAAAATTTTAGAGCAGTATTGTCACATCAAAGCAATTCTGCAAAAATAAAATTTGTAGTAACCTAATTCTATTCACACTTCTTTAACATTTAGACATTTTGTTCTCATTTGCGTTGAAGCAAGATTTTCCATTAAGAAGCATATTGTATTGTTGTTAATATACCAGTGTGAAATTACTTTTAAATTAATGCCCTTTTTCAAAACAATATGTGAAATATTGTGAACATGTGAAAGACAACTTTTAGTTTAGGAAGTTAATTCAATTCTGTTTTTCTAATAAACAAGTTATAAATGATGTATTTTTTAAAACATTTAAATTTCCATGAAATATAATTACATAAGACCTTGTAGAATAAAAGTATTTATATTTTTATGAATTAGTTAAGACTTCTGGTAGAAAAGTTAAAAATATCACCAAGAAGCAAACAAAAATCAAACTTCTTTAAAAAAAAAAAAAAGCAAACTTCTTTCTATTTCTAAGAGAAGACACCTCTTTAGGAGCATATGTAAAATAACTGTACCCTCATTCTTTTCTGTTCACTTTTTGGTCTAAGCAAATACTAAATTATTTTCAACCTCAATCTTTTGTGTGTGTGTGTGTGTGTGTGTGTGGCCCTTGTTTTGGGGGGGGAATTGTTTGATTTTGGATGTTTTTGAGATAGGGTCTCTCTGGGTAGCCCAGGCTAACCTCAAACTCACTATCTATCCCAGGCTGACCTCAAACTCATGGTCCTCCTGCATCAGCCTCCTGAGTGCTGGGATTCCAAGTATACACCACCACACCAAGCTCATCAGTTTCTCTATTCTTAATTTTACTCTTACAACTGCCTCTGATTCCACAATTCAAAGCAGACTCTTGGGCTTCTCTTCCTATTCCTATATTATACTTCTACCTTGTGGTAGCGCCTGGATGACAGGAGTGCCCACACAGCTGTCATCTCCCTCTCCTGCTACTCAGTGATAACAGGTCATCTTTACATCTAGGTTCATCTTCTACCCTTTTTAGCTGTTTTCATTCTGGATTGTAGCTTCACATTTGAGGTTGGAATAGATGCACATTGAACAATGGGGTAATTTGTATTTTGCTACATTGACTTCCATTTAGAGGAAAACAGCCCTGTAGTAAGGAAAAAAAGGAGATAATATGAATTTCTATTCTATCATAAGATTTTTTTCTTTAGGTAAGAGGGCTTGAACCCAGGGCTGTCACCCTGAGCTACATCCCATCCATGTTTTATTTTGAGGCAGTGTCTTGCTAAGTTGCCCAGGCTAGGCCTAAACTTGCAATCCTGCCTGAGCAGCCTCCCAAGAGTGCTGGTTAATAGCTATACTATTATACATGATTTTTAAGTGCAACACAGTGCTGTGTTGTTATCACAGCAGCAACATCTATACTCCTACTTCTGTTATTATTGGCAAACCTTTGTTGAATATGTAGTAAATAAGAAGTTGTTTCAGGCACTGTTTTAAATGCCTTATGTGAAGAAACTCAGTAAGATAATGATGAAAATAATAACCCAGAATCTTTTTTTTAATTCTCTATATGTGTGTTTAAATTTCTTCTTCTGTGAGCAAGGTGTGGTGGCGCATGCCTGTAATTTAGCCCTTGGGAGACTGAAGCAGAAAGACCCCTGTGAGTTCAAGAGCAGCTTGGGCTGCATAGTGAATACAAGGCCAGCCTGAACTACATAGCAAGACCTTTTAAAAACTAAAAAAAATAAATAAATTATAAATTTCTTCTTTTGTTTACTTATTTGGCTAGCTTTAATTAAACAGCAGTTTTCTTGGACATTGGTTACTGCGTATTGTTCTTGGCCAAATGCTTCATTTTTATACCTCATTTTGGTTTTTTTTTTAGGGAGATGTTCTTTCCAATCCATCAGATTATAAATCCTCACTCATAGCTCTGACTGCTCATAATTGGCTACTTCGTATATCAGCAACTACAGGAAAAATTCTTGAAAAAATATATCTCGCCTCTTATTGCAAATTCAGGTATTAACTGTGGGTTTATTATTTCAAACTTTGGTATAAGACTTTAAGGCTTGTAGGTCAGGAAATTTTAAACCCCCTGCCCCAGTTTTCCAGTGCTTAGCCTGATCTTAATTTTATAAATCTATTCTTCTTTCCTTGTGACTATATTTGAGTATTTGAAGACGTTTCTGTCTTTTTGCTTTGATAACTAGTAAGTCTCTGACCTGTACATAGTAGTAGGCATACATTAAAAAAAATTTTTTTAATACCCTGTGTTACCCTTCTACAAATAGATTTTTTGGGGGGTGTTTTGTTTTGTTTTGTTTTTTTGGACCTGGGGATTGAATTTATGCTTGCCAGGCAGTTGTGGTGCCACTGAGTTAAATCCCCTACAGATAGTATTTTCTGTGCAGAGTGAACGTTACGGTAGGATTTCCTGTAGCCTAGTCTGTGTTAGTTAAATTATCTGCTTACTAGAATTCAAGAACTATTTTAATAACTATTGGTTTTATCAGTTATATATACATTTTTGGAGTGAATGTGTGTATGCAATTTGTGAAAGTATTATTTTAATACTTTCATCACTTTCATTTTAAAGTGGAAATTTTTTTCCTAAATTTTGAATACTCTTAGATCAAAAAAAAATTATCTATCAACATTCTAGAAGGGTTAAAATTATTTAATTCCTTTATCAATTTATTAAAAATAGATCACTTTTATAATGTGAGTAAAAAACTTTATAATATCTTGATTTGAAGAGGAAATTGACCCAAATCATTACACTTTTCCACTTTATTTTAAAAGGTACCTGAGTTGGGACACTCCTCAAGAAGTCATCACAATCAAGTCAGCTCAAAACAAATGCTCAGTACTGGCACGTCAGGTAGATATCTTTATCTTTTATTTTATTTTATTTGGGAGGTACCTATTTGGCTATCTTTAATTAAATTTAGCAAACTTAGCAATTTTCTTTGGACGTTGATTGCTGCCTATTGTTAATGGCCAAATGTTTCATTTTTATACCTCTTTTTATACCTCACCTTGCACCACTGAGCTAAATCCCTGGCCCAGGTAGACATCTTTAAACATTCAGTAAACTAAGAATTTGTTTCTTTAGGAACTGGTCAGTAAATTTGTTATGAAAGAACTGATCTTCTTTGATTTCTGAAGCATTCTATTATGGTTGGTAGATAAATTATTTTTTCTGAAGAATGTTACTAAAATGGATTCTCCGTACGCCTCCAAAATACGATAACATGTATTTGTTTCCTCTTGGCAGAATATCATCTTTACCCTGAACTATAGTTTTGTTTTTTTTTTTGTACTGGAAATTGTACTCAGATCCTTGTGCTTGCAAGGCAGGTGGCAGAACCACTGAGCTAAATCCCTGGCCTGAACTATAACTTTTTCTCACTACTGTCTTGATTATAAAACAGCCAAACACTATTCTGAGTGCTCTTGTGCATTAACTCATTTTATCCTCAGCATAAACCTTTGAGTATCATTGCCCCATTTCACAGATAGCAAGTCTGAGACCTCAAGAGGTTAAATATCTTACCCAAAGTCACAATTCTGGTAAGTGGTAGAACTTAGACTCAGGACAATCTAACTCTAGAGACCCTATTCTTACATGTTTATACTAGGCTGCTCCTTCTCTGAAGTCCTGTAACTGATTGGCCAGTAAAGTTTATATAAGACTTCAGGGTAACTTTTAATAAATTAAGTAGTTCCTTTGATTTTACCTTATTTAAATAATCACACTCAGCATTCTCTTGTCAACCTTCCATCTCTGGCTGCTTGCACTTGCTTTTTATGATGGTTATGAGGAAATATTTTTCTACTCTTTTCCTATATTCTGCCTAGACACATTATTCATGCCTTTGATTGGAATCTGCTCAACCATTTCTTGATTTATTGAATATGCCAGCCTAAGAAAAAGATCACTGTCTCTCACAAATATTTTTCTCCTTATGCTCTCACTTTGTTGCCATCTTTGCTTTGGTAAAGAAAAAAATAATAGCAGTGAAATAGTAAGAAATAGTTACTATAGCAGTGAAATAGTAGCAAAACATTTTATAAGAATTCCACAAATATCTTGTCTGTCTTTTTAAGAAATTAAATTCGCGAAGAGCAAAAGAGCAAATAAGTCTAATTTTACATAGTACACATCTGCTAAGATATTTCATTTACCATCTTCTGATTATGTTAATGTCTTTTCACTATCTTTTAATTTTAGACTGTTTTCTCACAGCCTTTAGCCAACAACTAATAGCTCTTATCAGGAGATATATAGTATTTTTCCTTTCAGTTTTAGGAACTTGGAAGGAGTCTGATTTGAACCTTGAATAGCTTTTGTTAGAAGGTCCCTTTCAAAGGGAGAATCCTAAGGATTTCAAACATTGTAGTCTATTTTTTTGTTTGTGGTTTGTTTCTTTTCTAACTTAGTTTTGGCAGGTTTTATTGGTGATCTTGGTGCCCCAGGCAGACCCCTTTATCTATCACAAATTTAAGAAATTGTCTTGAAGCCTGTTCTGAGAAAATACAGCAGATTTGGGCGGGGGGTACTGGGATCAAACTCAGGTCCTTGTGCTTATGAAGCAGGCACTGGAACCACTAAGCTAAAGCCCTGACCCAGCAGATTATTTTAAATTTCATAGTGGGAATAAATTGAGTAGAACTTGTTCTTCAAAGTAAGGGAGCTTTTCTCTTCAAGCAGAAAAATTGCTCAAGATTTTACTTTTTTTTTTCATTTCACACAGATGTATCAGTGTCAACATTACTTTCAGTGATAATGACCATGACAGCTACATGTGTTTTAATTAGCCTCTATTATTAGTACTCCAATTTACAATATTAATGCACAGTATTTTGTTGCTAAAAAATTCTTACTATTCTCTTATAAAATTTTGTTTTTATTTTTTGTTCTTTTTTTTTTTTTTTTTTTTTTTTTTTTTTTTTTTTTTTTGGAGACAGGATCTTGCTATGTGATTCAGGTTGGCCTTGAACTCACTATGTAGCCTAGGCTGGCCTTGAACTCACAGCAGTCTTTCTGCCTTAGCCTCCTGAGTGCTGGGATGACAGGTGTGCACCACTATGCCCGGCTATGTTTTCTTTTAGACTTTTGTGTGCATGTATATGTGTGTTTATCTGAATACTGTAGCTGAAGATTTAATGAGCATATTTTAAATATATTTGCCTTCCGTTTTAGGTGACTGTTCAATCTCAGTCAATAGATGTTTTCAGTTTGTGAAAACTTCTGTATAACCACATCCCAGGACAGATGATCTTTTCAACTCATAAAACAGTGTGTCTAAAGGTACTCTGGAGAACTGCCTGTAATATTGGTCTTTCTTTTTAGGCAGGCATTCAGCAGACAGTTTTGTTATACCTTGCAGTGTTCCAAGTTCTGCCTTTTTCACTTGTAGGGATTGTAGAGATCAACAAAAGGGTAAGGACTTATTTCTCACTTAATTGCAGTATTAATTTTATTGACAATAAGATTACTGTCATTATTTAATTATTTATTAGATATTTTGATTGGAAATGTTCCCATGACTTGGTTTGTTTCATATCAAACTACATGATAACATTTGACTTGAGAGGAAAGCCCCTTATCTCTTCTTTTTTCTGCATGTTTTTATGCCTCTCAGATGGATGATGTTGGAAATCTGTGTTCATTAATAAACTACTGCTTTATAAAACTATGAAATGAATAAGGTAGTTTTTTCAAGGGAAATATTTTCAGAGCTTATTACAATGATCTGTAAGCTGCAAAACATTTTAATGGCAAGGTATAGGTCTAAAATTTGCTTTATGGTATATAAACAAGGCTAATAATTCTGTAAATTTTCTCCATCATTTGGCTTTGGATTTTATTGTTGTTAGTGTTTTTCTTGATTTGTGGAGTAATTGCATGGGAGAAAAGGTGACACATTTCAGTTGAGTAGAAGAGTCACTGGGGCTGGCGATATAGCTCAATGTGGTACAACACTTGTCTAGAATGTGCAAGGTCCAGGTTTCAATCTTGAGCACCAAAAGAAGAAGCAATAGACTTCTACTTTCTTATGGGAAAATGATTATTTATTGGACTCTTCTAGACTTTAAATACCTAAAGTGTTTTAGAGGATAAGATCTTGAGGTTCTACTAGTACTCACTAGTAATAAGATGATTGAATTTAAACATTTTAATATTATATCAGTGTAATACACTAAATAATATATATTCATTTTATAGCAAGCACTTTGAGCATTTTATATTATAATAATTAAGAAGTTAAGAGATACTCAAATTCTGAAAATAGTAAGTGAAAGAGCTAGAATTTGAACCTAGATTCTGCCCAAAAATACAAATCACATTTTAAAATAGTTTGGCTACTTTATTATAGCATTCATTGTTTTGAAATGTTTGAATTACACAACTCTTCCTTTCAAAATGTGGAATAAGGATCAGTGAATTAAAAAATCATGAGCTAGTCAACATCAAAGCCAACTGTAATTATCTTTCAAAGAAATGGCAAAAAAGCACAACTTATAATTTAATCGTTCTCTTTGTGCTTGTGGATTAGATAATTGTGAATATACATTACAGTCTACAATAGGAATGAACACTTAGCAAAGTCATAAATTGTTCCTGTTTGTTTTTATGTATTCACAGTAATCATTTGAAGGATTTGGTTTTGATTATAGTTGGTATGATTGAGATTAAAGCACATTTTGCACTTACTATGCATAATAAGACTACCCAGGAGCCAAGTTCCTGGGTAGTATTATGGACTTAAGACATTTATTGAGACTGTAAATCTTCACTAAGCTTTCTTGAGTAGAAATAAAAACATTTTCATTTTATGTCCACTGTCTTTCATTGTTATAAATATTTGCCTATATTGACTTTTGTTACTTATTCATATAGGTATAGAATAATGTTATTTATCTAAACTATGTGTAGAATCATGCATTCAGTGTATAGAATAGAAACTTTAAAGAACAATGAGCCCAAACCTTACCCAAGGCCAACAAGGCTAAATGTCTCTCTAGATGTTTGATCTTCAGCATGTCTTTTTTTATATGGCTAAAAAAAAAGCAGTATTTCTTAGAAATTAAAGTACAAGATGATAGTAAAAATCTGGAGATGTCTGTTTCTCTTATAATTACTTGCCTAAATCTAGTCTTTTTACCTTGAAATAGCTATAGTTTATTTCTTTATAAAGAACATTTTAGTAAATATAAAGAATAGGTCCCCAGGATATGTATGGTAAGTTAAAAATTCATTTAGAATTGCATGACCTTACTATATACCAATACAATATTCTTAAGGACATTTTTTTTTTAAGTCTTCCTTTGTAGTTCAGACTGGCCTTGAACTCACTATAGTAGCCCAGGCTGACCTTGAACTCATGGTGAACTACCTCAGTCTCCAAGTACACCACCACACCCAGCTGTTAACAGATTTTTATAAAGCCATGAAGCAAATAAATGCTGCATCATTCTGACAGTTATGTGCTATACTTTTATCAGTGCTTCAGTCTGAGAATCTAGTGTCTTACTATTCACCCCTATTAGCACCCCAGCCTCAAGTTGTTAAATTGTAGCTTAGTTTTGACACTAGGCACCAAGGTTGTAATGACCTGTATTTTATTTTTTTTAATGTTTTTTTAAATTGAATTTATTGGTACATTCTAGGTATACAGTACAGTTGCATTCATTACTGGGATCTTGTACCTTTACATGACAGGTCTTGGTATGACCTGAATTTTAAGCAAGACTAAAAACCATTGTGAACACTCAGAGGATTGACCTTTTGGTCTTTTCTCAGGTGATATCTGCCTTTCCCCCCAGATTTTCGGAAATGTTACCGATGCCACTCTTTCTCATGGAATACTGATTGTGATGTACAGCTCAGGACTGGTTAGACTCTACAGCTTCCAAGCCATCACTGAACAGGTAGAGAAAACTGAAATTTGCTGTACTATGAATTTTGGACTTTTTTTTTTTAATGAAATGTTTTTAGAGTAAAGCATATGTGCAGTTATCAACTTCATAAAACTATAGAAATCCTGAAGGACAAAATAACTTTTAAAAGAGGGGTGGGGAAGATAAACAGAAAGTCCCTTGATTAAAGACATTCTCTGTTATATACATGTGAATTTTTTTTTCTCTCCAGCCAGCAAATAAACAGGTGCTAAAGCCACAATTTCTGTTTTGTTTTGTTTTTAGTTCACGCAACAGAAACTTGACTTAGGGTGTGCATGCAGATGGGGTGGGACTACTGGAACTGTAGGAGAGGCTCCCTTTGGCATCCCTTGTAATATTAAAATCACAGGTATGGCTACTATATAGCATTTTTTCACCTTAAATAAGTAGTCGTATAAATAGTTACTAATTATAGTCATCCAAATGTTTTCTCTTTAGTTATAAACTGATTCGTTTTGCTCCTATATAGCATATTCCTTGTTATTGAAAAAATGTCAACCAAAATTCTGTTATTTACTGCTTGAGCCAAAGGCCTGAGGATGCTGAGCCTTGCTTGACCAGAGACCTTTGGAAACACTTTGCCTTTCTGATCTTTCATATCCTTATCTGAAAAATGAGGAGTTGCAACAAATAGTGCCATCCTAGCTCCCTTATAATTTAACATTTTATATTTTGTGAAACATTTTACAACTTGTGAAGGGTATTTTCCAAGGAAAATGTTATTATCATGCCATGTGAACACAGATAGGACTAGATACAGTGGGGACTTCACAGAATGCTTACACATTGACAAAACAAAAAAGAAAATTCTATAAATATGGTAAATCTGTTCTTTATTTAATAACTTATTAAATTCAGCAGTTTATTCAAAGAAATCAAACCACTATTTAAAATAACCAGTATATATTAACCCATGAGTATCCAGGGTAAATCTCAGTTATTCAAGAATAGTTTAATGATTTCAAATAGACAAAAATCGCATGAGATAATTAAAAGAGAAAATATACTTTATTATCCTAATACCTTTTTACTTAGTTCATTAAGAATCATTCCTTATCACATTGAAGTTATTTCCTTCTGTTTCCAACAAGCAAACAGCATGCTTTTAGGTGAAACTCCAAAGGTTTTAATAGAGGCAGTCATTGGTGTTCCTTGTCTTGTAGCAGCATAACTCCAATCTCTTTCTATTCATGTGGCTTTTTCCCTTCATGTCATCAAGTCTTTCTCCTTATAAGAATACAGAACCAGCTGTAGAATTTAGAGCCTTATCTTTATCCGGAACTACTGCCTTTTTATTTTATTGTTATCTGCAGAGACCTAATACCAAATAAAGTCACAATCACAGGTCCTAGAGTCAGTACTTTAGCATTTCTCTTGAGTTGGGGGACACAGTTCAACCTATAACAGTGACTAAAGTCTAGTTACATCATTATAGTTACATATCCTTACTTTTTGGCTCTCACAGTGAACAGCTGAAAGATACAAAATTCACTACTTCATTTTCAAAATTTTTAACTTTACTGTTCTTTTTTATTTTATATTTATTTCTTTTAACTCACAGTGAAAGTTCTCTTTTTATTGTTTCATTTTGTCATTTATGGTGCTGGGACTTGAATCCAGGGCCTTGTACATGCTAGGCAGGCCCTTTACCACTCAGCCAGACCCCAACCCCATGCTGGATTTCTTGATTCCAATTAAAATTTATCCTATAATATATAAACAATAGTCCTACACCTTCAGTACTAGTGCTGCTACTAAAAATTGAAGCATGGACTAAAGGTTCCCTTTTTTGCTCAGTATATATAGCCCAGTCAGTGTATACAGAGAGTAATGTGTTTAAAGGTAATATGAGAGCATTTTTCTACAGGATTAGATTACCAGTTTGATATACATGAGTTCATTTGTTCATTTGTTCTTTTCTTTTTCTTTTTTTTCAGTGCTGGGGATTGAACATAGGGCCCTGCACATACTAAATCCTCCTCCACTAAGCTACATCCCCAGTCCTTGATTTTATTCTGTGTATATAGTTGAAAGCTTAAAACTACATGAAAAGATACACTCAGAAACTTTGTTTCCAAGCCTTTCTCTTCCATCCTGTTATTACTTTCCTCCGCCATCTCACATCTGCCTTCAAAAATAGATTACTTTTTGTTTGTTTCTGGTTAATTCTTTTTTTTGCAAAAATAAGTAAATATATATTATATATATTTACTTTAAATACTGCATTCTTCCTACATCGAGAATCGTAGTTTTACATATCTAGCTTTTTAAACATTTGAGAAAGTATGCTCAACATTCTAAAATTACAGAAAATTCTTATTTCTCTTTTATCATTTAAAAAATTTTTTTATTTCATTTTGGTTTTTTGAGACAAGGTCTCACTTTGTAGTGCAGGCTGTCCTTGAACTCGAGGTAGTGTCCCTGCCTCTGTCTCCAGAGTGCTGGGATTTACAGGCATGCAAAACTACACCTGGCTCTTCTCTTTTATAAACAATCATTTTATATGCTTTGTTCAAGTCTTTTGAAGTATTATTGTTTGACCTTTCACAGACTCAGAGTATTCTATTAATTGTTCATTTTATTTGTAGTGCCTCTTTGCACAGTCTAGACAGCAGTAGCCCCTTTTCCTGGCTCTCCTTTTTCACACTTATCAGCTGACATCCTTGTAAACATCCCTGCTTTCTAGAAACAACAGGGTGGTATAGACCTGTCCAAAACTTCTGACATGAAATCACCTATTCTGAGGTTCCATTTGACCCAGCCATCGCTCTGCTGGGTATCTTTCCAAAAGATTTAAAAGAATCATACCACAGAGATACATGTGCACCAGTGTTTATAGCAGCACAGTTTGTAATAGCTAAAACTTGAAAACAGCCCATCTGCCCATCTGTTGGAAACTGGATAAAGAAGATACGGTTTTTCTATAAAATGGAATACTACTCAGCCATAAGGAATGAGAAATTAGAGTCATTCATAGGAAAATGGATACATATTGAGAATATACTCTTAAGTGAAATAAATAAGTCACACGTGTAAATACTGAATAGTGTCTCTGGTGTGAAAAATTATAATAGTAAACAAGATCCTAATGGGATAATTAAGAGTGTGAAATAGGAAGAAAAGGGCTAAAGGTGTAGGGAAAGTGGGAAGGATAGAGGAAAGGTAATAAGGGAAAAGAAAAAATATGAGAAAATGAAAAAATGGAAATAAAATGTTTGTAAATGGAGAGGGCAGGAGGGGGTGAAGAGAGGGCAGGGACAAGGGGAAAAAATGAGAACCAAGAACTGTCATGGAAGGTACAGGATCTCAGTAATGAATGTAACTGTACTGTAGACCTAGATTTTACCAATAAACTCAATAAAAAAAAAATCACCTATTCTGTGAGAACTTAAAGGCCTTTTTGAGAGTAGCGGTACAAATCAAAATTTGGGCTCTTAGAGGTTTAACAGAGCTAATCACAGTTGTGAACAGAGACTTGTTAATGCTTTTGGACCATTTTTAGCAAATGTGGGAAAAGTATTTCTTTTTAAATACATGTATTTGCATTGATTTTTTTCTGTTTAGAATTTTTGTTTCATATTATCTAAAATGTAACTGATGAAATTTTTATCCCAAATTAAAACTGTAATTATATTTTCCCATTTTATGATGCTTTTTCTTATCCACCATCATTTGGTAGCCACTGCACTATCACATATGAAATGTATGATTTATTGGCTCATGTTTTTACACTATTTTTATATTGGAGTACTCATATTTTTCTTATTACTAAAAAGGGCCACTGTATATTGACGATATTACCCTTTTCTTAAAAGATTAAAATACACAATGATAAAAATAGTATAATCCTTACAAAGAGGCCTAACAAAACACACACTTCTCTGTAATATGTGAGTCTTGTATGAATAGTCTTCCTAATAAGACCCCTTAACTAGTCTGAAAAGATTACTTTGCAAAATTAGTAATGGCCTCATCAAACAATTAAACTCTCAAGTTAGAGAGGTAAATAGTTATAAGTTAGCCACTTGCCCAGGTAGACCATGTAGTGTTTCCATAGGTTGCCCAAAAGGAATTCCAGTCTTCTAAAGCTGTGGTACCTTTCTTTCACTTATACATTTAAGAGTAGATTATACTCTTTAAAACTGTGATCAAAGAGTAAGACTAAAAAGCACCAACAGAATTCTCTTTTATGGTGTTTCCAAAAGAGGCTTACTGAATATACCTGAACCACCTTAAAGTTAACTTGTCTGATGATAATAGTAGCAATAGTGACTACCCTTTAATAAAGTCTTCATTGCGGGCAGACCCTACCCTAAGTGGTTACATTCATTATGACTAATATTGCATTTATATTGGAAATCTTATGCAAGACAAATCTTGTAAAGTTTGCTTCATATACTTGTTAGCTTTGAATACGCAAGATCTTCTCATATTTGAAGGAATTATTAGAATACTAGAAGTACTTCTTACTTATTAGGATTGTCATGGGAGTTGGAAATAGTAACTAGCTCAGAATCTTGCATATAGCAGATGGTCAGTAAATGGCAGCTTTTATTAAGTGTACTTTGTCCTCTGTTTTTTTTTTTTTTTTTTCCTCCCACAATAAGCACCTTCATCTCATCCTTTATCCCTGTTCATCTGCAGGCCACACATGCCCCAGAAAACAGATATCTAGAAAGTTCTGTCATGGCCTAATATTTGTTTTCTACTAGCTTTCTCTTTTCTTAGCAGTAAACTTCTTCCTGATTGCATTTGTTTCTTTCAACTTAGTAATTTTTCATAGTGTAAGTTCATGGATGATGCATGCAAAGAAAGGTTAAATTCAGTTAATGAATGGTTCCAGGCCACCAGAACAGAGAAGCTAATAAATGCCCTTTGCTCATCTCTATAGACTCGCCACCATTGCTCTTTGAGGTGTCATCTCTGGAAAATGCTTTTCAGATTGGAGGCCACCCTTGGCACTACATCATCACACCCAATAAGAAGAAACAGAAAGGAGTTTTCCATATTTGTGCCTTGAAGGATAATTCCTTGGTAAATCATTAGTGATCAGACTTTTTAGTAGTAGATTTGTACCAGAAATTCTCTGTTCTCTACTCCTCTAATAGTAATACATTCCTAAGAATTATTTTTATTCATTTGTTTTAATAATTTTCGAGAATATAGATACAGGGCCGGGGATTTAGCTCAGCAGTTCGATAGCCTGCCTTGCGAGCGCAAGGACCTGAGTTCAATCCCCGGTACCAAAAAAGTTTTAAAAAATAAATAAAAAAAAAAAGAATATAGATGCATACTTCTGGTGTATCACACAGAACTTAAAACCATTAACATTTGAAAATTCTTAGGGCACCAGTAAAATTTTCCCCCCTTACTAATTTCTAACTAAGGGATCCCATGCAAAGCACCTCTCAAGTTCCATGGTGGGAATTATTGATGGAATATGTTCAGGTTGCCTCTGAAATCACTGTAATGTGTTATTGGTTCTTCTGCATGGTTTGTTGCTATGTGCTTTCCAGAGCAGAACCCAGTTAGAACTTTGGAGGTCATACTGTAGGTGTCAAAACTCTGAGTTTTCCCAGATATTCTTAAACTACAGGTGCTTATCAAAAAGTATGATGTGTGTTACAGTAAGAGATTCATTGCTCGTAATCCACCTCAAAAAACACCCCCTTGCTGTGAATGCAGTTATCATACTTGTTGCTACTTTCTGAAGCAGTTATGGAAGTCCTCTTTTGTTAGTCTTTTTATGAGCTGTAATTAAAAAAATGCAGTGAATGCTGCTGCTGAGTGCCATCCAGTGAAAAGGCAGGTTTAAAAAAACTTAGTCCTCATCTGCCTTATTCACCATACGTGGCACTGTGCAACTACTGGCTTTTCCTCAAAGTTAGAATGACCATGAAAAGTAAACATTCTGAATGAATGCAGGGTATTGAGGTAGCCACAGCAGCACACCTAAAGAGGCTCATGAAAAAGGCCCTCCAGAACTGCTTAAGAAAGTGGTAAGAACAGAGGGATAAGTGTTTGATGTGAGGGGGAGTATTTTGAAGGAGACTGATAACAGTGTTTCTTTTACTGTAGTTTTTAAAAATTTAAACTTTCATATTTTCAACTATATTTTATGATAATGGCAGAGAAATGGTACCTGGTAAAACCGTAGCTATTCCTGCCTCTTGAATTCATATTTCTTCTAAAACATTCTTTAGGCATTAATTTGTCATTTAATAAACATCTATCTAGACGCCACCATGTGCCAGACATAGCTGGAGATACATTTTCATCCTTAAAGCTGCTTATACTCTCAGAAGGATGCAAACTAGGACTTCCGTTTTTGTTTTATATTGCTGATTCAATTTAGTGTTGTTTTGTTTTATTTTGTTTTTTCACCAAGGTCTTGCAATGTAATTCAGTGTGTCCTTGAACTCATTATTTAGCCCAAGCTAGCCTCAAACTCTAGGTGCTCCCCCTGCCTCAGCCTCCTGAGTGCTGGAATTATAGGCATATGCTACCACTTCTGGCTAACATTGCTTTTTGTAAGGCTGACTCTGTATTCCACATCGATTTCTTCCAGGACCAAGTGCAGTGAGTCACTGTTGGCTCCATTGGCTTTTAGAGTCACAGGTTATCTTTTGCCATGTTGAAGATGAACAGTTTTGTCTTTTTCCTTTGATGGCCATTGGGCATACTATGCCTGGTGCATTCTACATTGGGAACATTGTTTCCTTCTAGCTTCTCATTTATTAATCACTTGTTTCAGCTTCTGTTTGGCCCGGTCTATTGACAGCCTCTTTATAATCTTTTGTATAGGGACCTCTGAAGTCCCTTTCTTGAATTGATTATCAGTTCACCTCCTAATCAGGATGTCCTCCAGCCACATTTCTTTTTCAGTTAATGATGAAAAAGAATCCAATGAAACCCTACGGAATTTGTATTCTAGACATTTAGCACATTACTCTTCTTATATAAGAACTGGTAATGCATGTGTACACACACTGTATGTATGTGTATATGCTCATAAATAATGGCGTTCAACATCTATGTCAAGCATACTTATTCATTCTCCTGTAATAAGCAGTTATGACATATAAATAATTGCCAAATCCAGGAGGTTTTTAATGTTTTTGCTGGAAAGTTTTATTGCAGTGACCCTGCCTTAATGTTGCCTATGCCTGTTACCTTGGTACCCATCAGAAGAGTAGATAACTCCAAGACAAAAGCAGCCAAACTTAAGATGTCAGAAATGTCTTAGAGCCTTCAGTATTACCCTGAGTTTTAAATCTAACATTTGAGCAAATAATTAAATACTACAGGAGATGGTAATAAAGCTGCCTGTTATTTAACACAGATATTCTTGTATGTTATACTTAGATATTTTTAATAAAGAGAACACTTTGGAGCCAGTACCATCATGGACATATTTATTTTAATGGTTGCAACCAAGATGTTTAAATGCGTTTATTTTCTTGCGTGTCATGTATAATAACATGACCATTTCTATTAGAAACAGGATACTTGTAAAAATTAATAGAAAATGAAACTCATTCACTAATTTGATACATAAAATGTGTTAAATTTCAAAATTTGTAAATGCTGTGACATACAAAGCACTTATGACAGGGCTGAGGATTTGGCTCAGTGGCTCCACCTTCTGCCTCACAAGCGTGAGGTCCCGAGTTCAATCCCCAGTGTAAAAAGCAAAAACACTTAGGACAGATCCCTAGGGTACCTCTCTGGCCTCATGTCTGTGTACTGTACTTCTCAATTTCATTTTAGCTGTTGCTTATGTTTATGTATATATATGTTATATGGATTAAACTGTTGTGTTTTTGTTCTGTGATTTCTGTGCTCTCTCTCTCACTATTTTCTGTTTATCTGTTATGACTCAGGTTAAGCTTTTTTGCTTCCTGAAATTCTGTTCATGTGGAATGGTTTCTTGATAATCTCCTGTTCAGGTCCAGTCACTTCATTTTTCTACACTGCATTATTATTTTCTGTTTATGATTCTGTTTCCCCTTAAACTATAAACATCTTGATGTTTAATTCATATGAGGTACAAATGCTTAGTATAATACCTAGAACATTGTAGCCTGTGAGTATATGCTAATGAAATTAATAAAGCTTTTGTGAAAATCCAGTAGGAAAGATGGTATCATTTTATTTTACATTGAAGAAATTAAATGACTTAAATAAAGCCAGTGAAGTTCTATTTCCATGCTAGTGTTAGTTTCCAGTGCTCCTGGAATACATATACGGTGAAATATTTGTGTATGAATGTGATCACATACAAGTTTTTTTCCTTTAATGCCTAATAATACCATATTGAAATAAATTTCATTTCTTTTCTTAAATGCTAAGCAGTATTAGACCATTTTCTCAGATATGAGAACAAGGTTTGCTTGTTTTGTTTTTGTTTTTTGAGTCAGGGTCTTGCTGTGTTGCCCAGGCTGGTCTCCAACTTCAGGGCTCAAGCACTCTTCCTGCCTTAGCCTCCTGAGTAGTTGATACTATAAGCATGCACCACTATGCCTACCTAGAAATGAGAGTTCATACTATTTTACTTATCTAAGACTACATGACCCAAATCAGAGACTTTAGGCTTGGTTATGTGCGTGTTTGTATTACCCACCATTCTGATTAACAAGGAACAGGTGGGATCGGAAGAGAAGGAGGAAGTTGTGAAGAACTACATGTATATAAGCAGGGCAGAGTAATATAATGGAATGTGCATGGACTTTGGGATCAGATCTTCTTTTAATGGGTTCAAAACACTGGACAAATGATTTATCCTCTTTGTGTATCAGTTTCTTTAGTCATAAATTGAGGTTATATCTTTTCTGAGAGTGATTAAGAGCAAATGAATTAGTGGCCATAAAGGAACAATTGTGGTCCACAACACAAAGTATGTGCACTCAAATGTGGCAACTCCTTAATATTTGTACAGTATAACCTATGGTACAGAGTAAGTCTGTAAAATTTCCAAATTTAAATGTTTTTACTTTTTCAAGTTTGAGTGTCATAATTGAGCCCTCCAGTACATTCCAGTTCAGCTGGTTAATAATATCTCTTTACTTTGCTTTTTTTGTGTTAATGACTGGTATTACATTTGAAAAAAAATATTTTCCCCTATTCTTTATCTTAATATTTTTTTTCCAACTTCAGGCAAAAAATGGGATCCAAGAAATGGACTGTTGTTCTTTAGAATCTGACTGGATCTATTTCCATCCTGATGCTTCTGGTAGAATAATACATGTTGGCCCAAATCAAATCAAGTAAGTAATTTCATTAGCACTTCAAAGTTAAAAACAGCTTTTGGTAGCATATATTGTTATCTTTTTTGGGGGGCAGCTAACTGTTGAACAAATTATGAAAATAATTAGCTTGTTATAGGACACTCCAGAGACAGGCACCTAGAAAGTCTGACTTTTACTCGTCATACTGTTTATAGCTACAGTATTTGAGCATATCTTTGATAGATGATATATGAATGAAAAGGAATTATAAACCAACCCTTCCTCATCGAGTCCTAATTCTCTAGGATTAAAAACAAAGGAGATGGTTCGTCCTCCTCCTGAAAGTCATCCTTAACATACAAAAGGTAGTGGATTGATTTTTGATGTACTTTATTTGTTTTCAAGAATTACACATCTCCCACCAGGTGACTTTTTGTCCCTTGAGATGTTTGTCATTTGATTTCCCTGACATCACAATTCTCTTGTTTTCTTCCCTCTTTTATCTGTCTTTTTAAATAATTTTTCATCCTCTTCCTGCTCTTCACAGACTTTCTAATTGTTGGATATCCTAGAGTTCTCAGTGATAACACATGGCTTACTGCAGCACATGTGCTGCCACCACTGTCCTAAGCACTTACACCTTCTCTTCTCACTTGGCTTCAAAGATTGTTGTATAGCAAGAATTCCAACATTTATGTGTCAGCCCAAACCTCGTCTTAACTCATGCCAGAAATCTTGAACTGTTCTTGATATCTTACCTTCTTGTGTTTTACTAGTATACTAGAACCCAGGTCCTTTGCACTGATCTACGTCCCCAGCCCTTTTTATTTTTCATTTTGAGACAGGGTCTCACTAAGTCACTAAATTGCCAGGCTAGACTGAGACTTGCAGCCCTCCTGCCTCAGCCTCCCACAGAGTTGGGATTACACGCATGGGCCGCCACACCCAGCATCCTCTGCCCCTCACACACAACCATATATCCTGTCAATATAGTTTATTTTACTGCTAAATATTTAAGCCTAGCTATTTCTGCCTTGGCCACTGCCCTCATTTTGGTCAGACTGCCATCATCACTAGCCTAGACCACAGTGATAGCCTACTTAGAGGGCTTCCAGAATGCACTGTTGCAATACTCTTTTCTTTTTAGCAGTGAGAATGGTTTTAAATAACATGAACAAATATGAAAATCTGCTTTAACCTTTTCATGGATTCTTTTTTGCTCTCAGGGTAAAGACCCACAGAGTTAGCAGAGTCTGAAAGACCTTCTTCCCTCTTAGTTAACTTCAGATGTACTGTCTTTTCAAACAGCTGAGGACCTGTTCCTCCATGTGGAGTCTGTTTATCCTGCCTGCTTGCCTGTCTAATTTGTACTCACAGTTTATGGTCCAAATTAAAGATCGCTTTTTTAGGGACTTTCTTTACTACTCGTATTAGATTTACTTGCCTGCCATATTTTTATTGTACCCACTGTGTAATCTTGCTCTGTAGCACATAGAGCTATTTTAATCACTTGTCCATAATGACAGGGAGTCTGTTTTGCTGATTCTTGTACCCCCAAAATTGAGCACATTGCTTAACATAGAATAGATACTCAGTAAGTATTTGTTGAATAAGAAGAACCATGTCTGCTTTCTTTATTCTTTAGGCTTAATAATCAGTTTACCTCTATTCGTCTATTATAAGAAGGATGAAAGTATTTAATGAAGTAAATTTATTAGCTTTTATAAAATGTCTTAAACTAAGGTTCAGTAAATATCTTAAACTAAGGTTCAGTAAACCTTACTTAAAATGTTTATTACCACCTAACGTTTTAATATTTGTTACCAACCATATTAATCTAACTTTAAGAAAATAAGTTCCACAAAGAATGTGTGTCCTTTTGCCAGATTTCTAAAGGTAGGCATTTTTAAATATTACAGTGATTAAGATAACTAATTGAGTACTTGTCTCTGGCAATTCTGAGTCACTCAGTTATTCCCGGCCACAGTAGCTATTTCCCCTTGTCTTGTCTTGCCTTGTCTTGCCTTGCCTTGCCTTTCTCTCTCCCTCCCTACCGCCCTCCCTTCGTTCCTTTTTTCAGTACTGGGCATTGAGACACAGTCTTCCAAAGTTGCTCAGGCTGGTCTCAGACTTGCAATCCTGCTTCAGCCTCTTCAGTAGCTGAGATTGGGGATGTACACCACTATGTGTAGCTACTCCACCTGTTCTTTTTTTGCTTGTGTATGAGACTTTGACCTTTGAAAACATTGTGCTTTGGAAGCTTGTTAATGATGTGAACAGATTTGTGTAGGTGGTGAGCAAATTACTTTATTTTCTTTTGCTTAATAAAGCTTGATCCATGAGGACATTTGCACTTATACAACCCAAATCTTTAATTATAACTAATTTTAAGACAAGACAAATGTATTGTCAATGCAGCTTGTAAGTATTATTCTATCATGAAAACTCTCAGTTTAGATTTAGTTGCTGCTCCAGTCTCTCTTGGAGTTAATGCTAGATTTTGCTTATAGACATCTCCTTCTGTCTTCAGAAATAAAAATGCAAATATTTGCCATGATGCCATGTTAAAGACCTGTTCAGGGACAAAGTGATAAGAGAAACTTTCATTAAGCCCATTTGGAAGATGAAAGCAGAGCAGAATAACTCTCTGCATTGCCTACTTCCCTACCACCTGTTGTCACAGTTGTTATTTTTCTGTTTAACAAAATCTCTCAAGTTTGCAGGGGTTTACAGACATTTATTGATCGGGCATTTGTTTTTCAGACTAATCAGAAAATGTTACTATAATTTTCATTGTTTAATTTAACTTTGATGGTGTTTTGAGGTCTTAAGATTCTTAGAATTCTTTTTGTCTTTTTAGAATTTTAAAGCTAAATGAAATAGAAAATAATAGTTCTCAGCATCAGATATCTGAAGATTTTGTAATTTTGGCCAATAGGGAGAACAAGGTAAGTCAGAAACACTTATAAGTCCTTTGTATATAATTTTATGTATAAGCATATAATATGCAAATATGTTTACCTTGAAATATGACTGAAAACAATAACAGCCCTATAAAAGTCTATTCATTTTTTCTCTGTGGGTAACCAGTCTTAGCCTCATGTATAAATGAGACTTGAAAAAAATTGATTATGTTGAGTTTATCTTTTGCTTATTTGTTCCTTTCTGGATTTCTAAGCTCTTATTGATGAATTTGCAACTTTTGGTTCTAATTATTTGTGCAGGATTAGGGTTATTTGGGGTATATGTAAAAGCACATATCATACCTTAACTCCAAATGATACTTTTTCTTTAATGTATAAATTAACATGAAGAAAATGATGAGGGTAATTTCTAAAAGTAGATCCTTGTTTTCTGTTCTGTGCTAAAATAAAAATGTGATGAGAATGAAACAAAAACCTATAACCTTTTAATTTGTTCATCATTTTTTGCTTATCCTGTTATTTTATCTAATTAAACCCCTTGCCATAATAAAGTATTTTTACAAACTGAAGGATCAAAAATCTGATTCAGAATATTCTTGATTGAGGAAAAAATTGTGGCTGTTGGAAAAGGGCTAGTTAGTTTTACCAAATTTATTAATAAAATTTTGTCTTTGAGGACCAGGGATTTAGTGGTGCTGCTGCCTGCCTTGCAAGTGCAAGGTCCTGAGTTCAATCCCTGGTATCAAAGGAAAAAACATGTTGTATTTGCATATGATTGAACTTACATCTTTTTATTTCTCTCCATATAATAGAAAGAAAATTTAATCACTGTTACAGCTTCTGGACGGGTGGTAAAAAAATGTTTTAACCTTCTGGATGATGACCCAGAGCAAGAGGTACTACTTTAGGCAAACATAACCAAATCAATATGTATTTGCACTGCGAATTCAAATCAATGTGTCCTGGATCCTCTGGTAGATTGGGGGTAATGGATTCCTTGCAGGCAGAATAGTAGGGTTAAGTATGCTATTTGAACCAGTGCAGCCCCCCACCATTTTCTCTTTTCTTACTGGAATTGTTCATAGCATTTTGTTTGCAGAAAGGCTCATAAAGCCAAAATAATTTGAAAACATGATTAGCTTAGAGTTTTGTTGATGTATGTATTTTCTAGAGAATCACTTAATAAAAAAATTCTTTTTTTTTTTTGGTTTTTGGTTTTTTGAGACAGGGTTTCACTATGTAGTTGAGACTGAACTGGAACTCACTATGTAGTCCAGGCTGGTCTCAAACTCACAGCTGTCCTCCTGCCTCAGCCTCCCGAGTGGTGGGATTACAGGCGTGTGCCACCACACCAAGCTCCTAAAAAAATTCTTGAATTATATTCTCTTGGCTTGATGGTTTTTGCCTTATTTTTTTTACTTACTAGACATGGATATGCCTGTTAATGTTCATAGGCCACTGGGGATTAAGGTATTGTAAATCGTTTTAGCTTTTGAACCTCTACTTGGCATTACCAGTCACTGAGCTAATCCAATTCTATCCCTTTCCTTTAAAATACACTGGAAATATTCTGAAAGCAACATTGATCATGCTTCAAATATATAACCATTGCATAAGTTCTAAATCCACTTAAACTACATAACTGTATTGTTGAGGCCGTCCTATCTGTGTGTAAACTTTGAAGCAGTTTTCTAAGGTTGATACGGCCCAGTGTGTGTAAAAAGGAAAAAAGTATTCCTTTGGTTCATTTAAGCCTATCAAGAACAAAGCAGAAAGTTTCTCTTTTTGTGTATAAAAGCATATTCAAGTCAGACATTAGTTTAAGGCCAGCCAGAACTATGGCAAGACCCTCTCTCAAAAAAACCAAAAAACAAATAAGTAAATCATAATTTTTTTAAAAGCATATTTAGGAAAGATATACTAAAAGTACCAATACCGAGTGTGAATAAATAATAAGGGACAGGTGGCAAGAAAAAGAGATGTTTCTATACCATGAGATTACAAAATTAAGCCTTTTAGTCTATAAAGGAAAAATTGAAAACAGTAAAATTATTGACAGCAAGGAGTCAAACTTTGAAATTGGCCATGATAGGATCATGGCAAAAAAGTAAATAAAATGAATCATAGGTAATAAATCTATGTACATTTTTATGTCAGAAGGTGGTCAAGGCAGGAAATATAAATGGCTTAAAGAATAGCTCGACCAAACTTGCCTGTCTTGAATGATGATGCCAGGTACTCAGCTAAGAGGTACCTTCCTGTGCTTTATCCCTGACTGGCAGACACTGATCTGCTTCCTCTGAAGCTGCAGGAGTCCAAGGCTTTTTCCTGGAGACCGTGTTCTGAGTTTTGTCTTTCTTTACCATAGCTAAGCCCTCTTGACCCACTCCTGCTCTGTGTGTTGGACTTAAGTTCCTAATACTTCTCCTCAAGTATAGTCACTTTGATATCTTCGGGGAACCAGGAAAGACTGAAAAACCAAAAGGATGCAAATACAGTCATAAATAGTATATGATGGGTTCTTCTTGTTTTGTTTTTTTTGAGACAGGGTCTCACTATGTAGTTGAGACTGACCTGGAACTCACTGTGTAAGCCCAGGCTGGTTTTGAACTCACAGCGATCCTCCTACCTCAGCCTCCCAAGTGCTGGGATTACAGGTGTGAGCCACCATACCCGGCTGATGGGTTCTTCTTGAAGTGACTTTTTCTGGAATAAGAACTTCTAGAACTCAGAAAGCAAGTTCATATGTGAACTTCCTGTCTGAGAATTCACAAACACATGTCAGAGGGAGTATTTGGATACTATTGAATTGGAAAGGCTCTGGCTTTCTGTTATTATACAGAATTAGACATTATGGTTATACTTTGACACCTACATAGACTTGGACCTGCTTGTTGAAATCTGCAAGATACTTATGTAACTCCTAGAAATCCGGGGGCCTGTGTTTCTCTAGTAATAGAACAGCCAAATTACAAATGTAGGAGTATTCCTAACAGACTAACTGGATTTGGCCTCTTTTCCTCTGCCTTATCCATCTATCCTCAAGACTTTCAAAATTGTGGACTATGAAGATGAATTGGATTTGCTCTCTGTGGTAGCTGTTACTCAGATAGACGCTGAAGGAAAGGCTCACCTGGATTTCCACTGTAATGAATATGGAACTTTACTTAAAAGCATTCCACTGGTAGAGTCATGGGATGTGGTGAGTAGAATCCTTGGTATACAGAGCTGGGGTTGCAGTTCAGTGTAAATAAGCATTTAGCATGAACGAAACCATGGGTTCCATCCCCAGTACTTTAACGAATAGGGGTACAAAGTTGTGAGAGTTTTCTTTGTAGGTTCCATTTATTGGAACAGATATTACTGCATACACATGAATCTAGACTTACTAGTGCCAGTGGTCATATGGAAGAAGTTATTGTCAGGTACACAGGACAAAGTACCTCCTTATTCCCTTCTGCCTTCTTACCAGTAGGCTCAGAGAACAAGCTTAATGTGTATTTCCTTACTGTTGTCTTTGATTTTTCTCTGCAAATATGTTTGGTAACATTTTTTAAAATGAAGGTATATTTTAAAAAGTATAATGTAATGAATCCTCCTATTTATTTTAGTAAAAATCATATCTAAACAAACTAGATTTCCAAGTGCTCATGGAAATATTTGTCTGCTCTTCCAAGTATTGTGTAATATAAAAGTTGTAAGGAGCAGCAGACATTCTACCCAGGCCTTGTTTTATCAGTGGAGAAGCTGAGAAGTATAACAATTCACATATGGTTGCATAGTAAGGTAGATGGTAGCAGTATTGACAATAGACTCTGGATATTCAGACCCCTAAGTCCAGAGTTGTTTTCATTTTCTATATTTTGTACAATGTCTTTTAAAATTAGTAATCTGTGTACTTGCAAATAAAGAAAAATAAGCCTATTAATGGTTACTCTTGTCTTTATGTATATATTTCAAGATTCCTAGCATAGGTGCTTTGGCATTTTAGTGACACAACAGTGAATATAGTTCTGTGAAGATGAGATTCCAGATGGCTGTATTTTTGTTACAGACATACAGCCATGAAGTCTACTTTGACAGAGATTTGGTGCTACACATAGAGCAGAAACCCAATAGAGTCTTCAGCTGCTATGTTTACCAGATGGTGTGTGACCCTGCAGAAGAGGAAGAAGGAGAAGACGATGACGAAGAAGACGAAGAAGCAGAAGAAGCAGAAGAAGAAGCGGAAATCCTAAACACAAATTGTTAAAAAGAGTGAGATGATTGTAACTTATGAGACTGTTGGCCAAACACCTTAGAAACCGTCCAGTCCTCTTTTATTATCTGAATGGTGCATTCTACAGTTGATGCTTTGTTTTGTTTTGTTTTTTTTCAGAAAAGGTCTTGCATTATTAACTTCAGATGACTAACATTAAACTCTTGCTGTAAAAGTTGGTGAAGTTTTTTAGAATGCTGTCCCAAGAGGTCTAGCATTTTGAAACTTTTAGCTAGATGCTACTGCAAATATAAAATGCTGAGAAGAGAGGAGGACAGGTTAATACCTGATGTTCTGGAGACAGGCATTAATTACTGTGAAGAGGTTTAACATGATTTTTAAAGGATAGTATGGAATTTTGATTGATAAGGCTAGGAAAGACAGACAAATATAAAGATGGCAAAATACATAAAGAAATCCTATATCCTCTATATCAAACTTTGGTAAAATATATAATGTGAAAGCCTACTTTTGAGCCTTAAAAGTTTGGCATCGTGTTTTTTTAATTGTATATATTTATATATTTTTTATATTTGTGTATATTGAGAATTAGTTCTAGTTCTCAAATTACCTTTTTCTCCGTGGTTCTATTCTCTTGCCTTGATATCCCTGTTAAATATTTTGTATTTCTATTATAAACTAACGTAAAAGACTCTAGGCAACTTCAAAGGAAATTTTTTTCTCATCAGTAACCTATTTAAATCTAAGAATATTGCTGTCATTCATTCTACTTATTAAATGAGTATGACCATTTTGTTTAGACAATATTTTCTTATGTGTACAAGAAAATAAAGGGACCCTGGCCTGTCCCTTTTCAGTTTCTCATAGAAGAGTCAGTTAAGTCCCAGAAGGAATGTTTCCTGGCTTGGGAAATACCTGATTAACCAGAGAGAGTTTTTGGCTATCTTAATTATGAAGGGAGTATTTTTTGCTTCTGTTAGGACATTTATAAATATGATAATTACTCCAATCATCCTCCTGAGAAAGTTAAATGAAGGCAGACTAATTAAGGGAGAAAAATGTTTGTTTATGCTTTGTGTTCAAGACATCCAGTTGGCTTGCAATCCACTTGATCAACACATTTCTTTGATGCAGCATCAGAAGACTAAAAAAAAAAAAAAAAAAAAAAACACAA